TTTTCCGTTGACAGACCTGGCGTTCAGCAGCACCACCTTCAATCCGGAGGGCCCGCTCACCTGGTTACACCAATATACCTTAGGAGACCGGTTTAGGGTTGTTAATGTTGGTAAGCGGTCCGAATTAAGCCGAATTAATACCCCAGAAACTTAGTTTTTGTGGCTGCCACAAACTATATTGAATTGGTTGAGACTTGGTGCAATATTCATGGAAAAACTATAGCAAAATGTACAGTAGGATGTCCTGCAAAAAAGTTTTTGAAGTTTAATAAATGTTATCCATGTTTTTATGATAAATATCTCTAAAGCAGAGTGTGTCTTAGAATCATGGGTAATCTATATATAGCTTTTTCTGTTGATGGTGTCAAAATTAGCATGCATCCTACAATAAATGGTGTCTTGGAATTGAAGAAATATGGTATTTTCTTCACTTGCCAATTACTAATGGATCCAGATCTACTTTATTCCCATGCTTGCTTGTTCTAGATTTACCCTTTGTAGCATCTCTGGGCAAACTTTGGCCCTCCAGCTGTTTTGGACTTCAACTCCCACAATTCCTAATAGCCTACTGGCTGTTAGGAATTGTGGAAGTTGGAGTCCAAAACACCTGGAGGTCCGAAGTTTGGCCATTCCTGCTGTATACAGAATTAACTTCAGTATTTTCCAAAGCAGATAAAAATACATGAAAGAATGCCCATGCATCAACAATTTAATAATGTTTTTAGTACATACTACAGTAACAACAGAAAAGCAATGTGCCATCCAACCATGAAATGTTGCACTACTTGCAGTGTTTAGTATGTTTACTTATGAAGTTGCCTTTCTTCTGGCTTCCCCACCTCTCCTTGAGGCAAAAGAAAGACAACTTTAGCTTTGACTGTTCAGGCTACTAGACCTATATTACAAAATTCAGCAGCTGAAAGGTAACTTTCAAGTAAGTTACTTACAGAAGTTGCAAATTTAAGAGCAACTACCACTGAGTGAGTCTCAAGGAATTCAGTGGGTTGTACTTCTATGTAAACGTGATTAGAATTGAGCTTTGTGTTTGCATTTTTAAAAGATTGTTGTCCACACTATTCAAAGTCATTTTCAATCTAATGTGTAGTAAAAAAAAATGTTTACTTCCTTTTACTAGGTTTTCCCCTTTCAAATAGGGAAAAAGTTCATATTCAGCCAACATTATGCTGTTACCTAGGTTTCCACTTCAAGACAAAACTGAATTCTTTTTTTCCCAGACCAAAAAGAGCTCAAACTGCTCCACACAAGAGGATGGAAGCTTAATTTTCTTTATTTTTTTAAAGAAAAGGGAGAAGGGAGAAGAGAATTCTGAAATAAAGAGACCTTGGCAGTTTAGCCTAGTCACATTCTTGGATTCCTAGCTCCCAAAACTATCCACAGAGCACTTCGTTTTCCAGTATTTCATTGCATTTAGTACTTTATAAAAACCTTTTTTTTTTTTAGGAAACTCTTCCAAAGGAATGTACACAATGGTCACAAAGACTAGCTACTTAACACTTCTATGTTAAATTAATTTTTTTAAAAAAGCTTTAGAGGTAACATGCAGAATAAACCAAAAGAACAATAATATTAACTGAGAACTTTGCTTCATGTATAAAAAAGGAAGTCATAGTAATTTCTGAAACTTAAATTCATGGGTGGGAAACTGTGCATCCCTCCAGATCAGTGGTTCCCAACCTTTTTTTAAAAAAAAACAGGGACCACTTTGACCAGGGAACCACGCTCCAACATTAGTACCACATCAGCTCTAGTTTCTGATACAGAACATATGCCATCCAGTAGTCACCATCTGCTCGCTCATAGAAAACCCTTTTTTTTTTAATAATCTAGAGCCACAGACTTTATTTTAGGTCTCACGGTCCACAGGTTGGGAACCACTGCTCCAGATGATGGATTAGTTTTCAGCTTCCTAGCCAATGGGATGCTGGGAGTTGTGTTTCAAAAATGTGCAGAAAACCACCCAATTCCCACTCCAGCCTAAATCTGTTAGTTACAACTAACATTCAACCAGTCTATTTCTGAGTGGTAAATCTATTCTTATGGAAATCCAATTGATTCTACTTTGGATTAGTAAATGGATTTAGGCAGTAGTTATTCTTCATGACATTGAGCAATTATTACTGACGGCTTTAAAAAAAATAGATTGAGGCCTATAGTGGGTTTGTTTTTGTTTTTTTGTTTTTTGCATGTTTGCATAGTTTGATCAAAGCTTATTGTACAAATTTCTTCTTTCTAGTTAGTTTCAAATATGCTTTGGATTCCTATATTTCTTTTTAAGTTAAAGCAGATTGACCCAGCTGTCTCTTTGAGTTCAGCAGCATAAGGGTTAATAGATGTTCCCTTATTTATTCAGTATCTTTTGTTCTAGGAAGCTGCAAAAGAAGTTGTTCCACGCACAGTTCAACCTGTTAGAGAGGAAGAGAAATAACACAATCTGCTTTCATTTTATCTCTGTACTGAAACACTTTAGGTTATTTTATTGGATGCTGAATGATGGCCTGGCTTTAGCCAAGAAACTGCAGGCGCCACGTGTTTGCCACCTAGTGCATACCAAATAGTACTGCAGGCCCAAGCTTTTGACTTTTTAATTCTCTATTGCTCAAAAGGCAGACAGCCACAATATCCAGAGGTACTATTTAGGATAAGCAACATTTTAAAATTAGAAAAAGATCATCAATAACTAATTGTATGGCTGACATTTTGTGCATTTTACAAGCAAAAACTAGTAAGAAGGACATTATGCAACAGATTGGCTATGGCTGCTTTGGGGAGCTCTGATCTTGGCCAGAGGTTTTTTACCCTTCACCTTATAGATGTTGTGGACTACAACTCCCACTGTCCCTGACCAATGGCTAGATTGTCTGAGTCTTTTGGAAGTTGAAATACAAAAACAATCTGGAGTGTTAAAGTTTGAGAGCCAAGTAAGTTAATCACTGGCCAACACACATTTCTGGGTTGCTCTGAGTGTTCTGGGCTGTATGGCCATATTCCAGAAGCATTCTCTCCTGACATTTCATCCACATTTATGGCAGACATCCTCAGAGTTTGAGGGGTCAACCTCTGAGGATGCCTATCATAGATGTGGGCAAAACGTCAGGAGAGAATGCTTCTGTAACATGGCCATAAGCCCAGAAAACTCACAGCAACCCAGTGATTCTGGCCATGAAAGCCTTTGAAAACACATATTTCGGTGCTTCAAATGTTAGACCTGTTTCTCTGTATATATGACCTGCTAATTTAAAAAATGGCACCAGTTTTCCCCTATCAGCTCTAGTTTTTAACATACTGATTGTCGGAGAAAGTCATGATAGAACTAATGTGGTCCATCCAATGCAATTTTCTGAATCAGCCAAATAACCATAGGAACAGGCCTACATACCAATAAATGTTTTGGTTGGGCTGTGTTATTGACAGCAGAAAGGATAAATACCAACTGAGGAGGACAGTTAGCATAAACTTTTGCTGACAATTTCCTGAATCAGCGATAAAAAAAGTCAAGAACTCCACTTCCTAGTCATGTACTGCAGCTAAGGGAAGATGTTTTGCAACATTCTATATATAATGTCCCCTTCCTCCCACCCAGCACTAACTGTTTGTTGACAACTACTGACTTCAAACAGGGATATGAGGCACATCTCAGAAGCAGGAGTACCAAGAGGAGAGAGGCTCAAGAAAACCACAGCAAAGGAAACTGTCTTAACGATCATGATGGATTGCAATGGTAATTTAAAAAGGGAGACAGATCTGCTCTGCACAGCTCCCAGAGAAGGTGGCTCCTTTCCCAGATACTGTATGGAGATTGTGTGTATGTGTGCCTTCAAGCTGTCTATGGGCATATGTCACCCCCAAGAATTTCAGTGTTTTCTTAGTCAAGGAAGACTTCAGAAATAGGTCTGTCATTTCATAGAATTGGAAAAGACTTTGTGGGCTATCCAGTCCAACCCCCTGCCAAGAAGCAGAAAAATTGCATTTAAAGCACCCCCAACAGATGGCCATCTAGCTCTGATTAAGAGCCTCCAAAGCCTCCACCACACTCTAGGGCAGAGAGTTCCACTGCTGAACAGCCCTCATAGTCAGGAACTGGCCCAATAAACCTCCAGGCTTATTTTCTGTGGAGTACATGGTTCTTTGGTTCAAACATTGGTGATTTCTCTAAGGAAAGAGGAAGAGTTTAAGCATACAGACAGATAATCGGCACTTTGAATAACTCCTTACTCATGTTAACCTTTTTTTTTCCGTGTCAGGAGCGACTTGGGAAACTGCAAGTCACTTCTGGTGTGAGAGAATTGGCTGTCTGCAAGGACATTGCCCAGGGAACGCCCGGATGTTTTCACCATGCATGTGGGAGGCTTCTCTCATGTCCCCACCTGGGGAGCTGGAGCTGACACAGGGAGCTCTTCCACACTCTCCCCTGATTTGAACCTGCGACCTGTTGATCTTCAGTCCTGTCGCCACAAGGGTTAAACCCACTGCGCCTCCGCGTTATCCATGAGCAGCCAACGTAGATAAATTAGGCAAAACATAGTCAGGCAGACATAAATAAATAAATAAATATGCATAATCTTTGTATGTGGTAGTAGAACCCAGCTTTTGTTGGAACAACAGTGCAGATGCTTTGGCCAAAACAGAATATTGTGTTTCCATGAATAGAAAGGGGATGGATTAATCCCTCTTTCCTCCTTGAACTCTGAGTAAGCATCTGAAGCAAGTATTCCAAATCTTGGTGGGCCATAGGAAATCATGTAAGTTATGTGCGTAGCACTGGATGTAGATCTTGAAACTAACTACTTACATATAACAATTTGCCTGTAATTAATTTTGTAATAACAAGACTTATCGAAGTTAAATGATTGCAGCTGTACTGTTGCATCCAAGCTGCTTTAAATGTCTTTAGTGCCCTGACTTTCTATCAGCTTGGGGGATGCTGGATTGCCTTCCTGTTTGAGCAAGGAACCCCACAGAATCAATGTCCACGCTATTGCTTTCAAGAAACGATAATTTATTAATTGCTCTTGGGCCTATCGCCACTCAGGCACTATCTTGATTTCCCCACAACAAAGTCCATACTTAAAGTTTGAAGGCAACTGGTTGTTCTTGAAGTTGCTGATCGTGGATGATGATGAAGGACATATGAGTTTCCCTTGCTCACTTTCTCTAACAGATGGTCCTCTGGGGCACCCAATGCCCAAGGTGGCCAGGCCGGAGGTAGAGAGAGCAGGTCCCTCCTATTGAGGCCTGGCACTTCACTGAAGGCACTGGAAATTCCACAGACTGTCACTGATCAGAGATAGGCCAGTATAGCTGGATGAGTTCCCAGATTAGTTAGCTTGAAATGGCTTGTCCGAGCCTGGATCTTGCTGGGACCAACTACAGACATTTCTTGCTTCCTGGTGGTAATAACCCTAAGCTAAAGATGGATCTCTTTCCCCGGGCAAAGGGATGGGCAAACTTATTGATCCAAACCAGGAAGGGTTTCCTTAAGCTCCACCTTCGTAAAACTAACAGAAAAGTGACTATTCTCAAATAGTGGTGGGGCAGCCTAAATAGAGGAGCTGGGACTTATACAGTTCTATCACAGCAGCACAGTGAGAGATTTCACTTTTTATATAATTGTTATTAAAATCAATAAATTAACTTGTAATTCCTTCACATTTTTGGCACTAAAGGCTTATTGAACATATAATTTCACTCTGCTGTACCTGGTATTTGTTATTTGTTTTTAAAGTCAAAGAGTCTCTGTAGTTTCACTACTTTGATTTGTTTTATACTGAAGGTTGGTGGCTTGTAGCATTTTAATTTTGTTAAATAATTAAAGGTAAACATTTTCCCCTGACGTTAAGTCCAGTCATGTCCAACTCTGGGGGCTAGTGCTCATCTCCATTTCGAAGCTGAAGAGCCAGTGTTGTCGATAGACACCTCTAAGGTCATGTGGCTGGCATGACTGCATGGAGTGCTTTTACCTTCCCGCTGTGCTTTTACCTATTGATCTACTTACATTTGCATGTTTTGGAACTGCTAGGTTGACTGAAGCTGGGGCTGACAGTGGAAGCTCATGCCGCTCCCCGGATTCAAACCTGCGACTTTTTGGTCAACAAGTTTAGCAGCTCAGTGGTTTAACCCACTGCGCCTCCAGGGGCGCTGTTAAATAATTAAGGGCTTATTATTATTTCAAACAACAAGAAAGGAGATTTGCCATGAAAAAAACACCCAGGTATAACCATAACACCCCCCGCTGTACACATTCCAGCTTGTCAACATCTCCCTTCAATTGTGGTGCCCAGAATTGGACACAGTGTGATTCCAGGTATAGTGGTCTAACCAAGGCAGAATAGAGGAGTAGCATGACTTCCCTGGATCTAGACACTATGCTCTTATGTATGCAGTTCCTTTGACAATGCAAAATACCATGCTATAGTTGGAACTGGGAAACCACTGCATGAATGCAGCAAGAGTGGTGCCACAGCTCACACCGATGCTTCATTATCTCTGCAGTAAGAGAAATCATTAAAGACACTGAAAAGCTGATCCCACATTACAACACGATCAGTCCAATGGGGGCAGGACATGTCTGAAATTGAAGCAGGACATCAATCCTCTATAATCCTGAATAGAAAGACATGTAAGTCTCTGGTGCTAAACAACAGACTAAGGATCACTAGGGCACAAAGGCATGGAATCAACTACCCTGCTCCCTTCATCACCTTGCACTTGGCAACACACCCCAGAAAGGGATGCTTTCCTAAGCAGTATTTATTTACCACATTTGTACCCCATCCTTCTCACCCTGAAGGTGACTCAGGGTGGCCTTACAACAGGCAGCAATTTGATGCCATAACAAATGCAGTATATGCATAAAATAAACAAAATCTTAGCAAGTAGGGCTAGAAATAAATTAATTAATGATACAAAACACTGAGAAACCATATTGTCTCCAGTCTGGTGATGCTGTTCCCTATCCAGCAGGGCATTCCCATTTCCAGTCATCATGACGAAGATATGTGTTGGGTCTTGACCCAATCCAGGCTTTAATTAGCCAGGGCAAAGGGCTAGAAGCAGGGTATTGACAACCATTGCCTTTGGAACGGACAGGAATATGCTGATCCTCTGCCAGTTCTTCTTGTGGCTCCGGCAGGCCACTGGCACATTATGGTAACACAGTGATGGTGGCCTTTTGCTGACAGCTACATCATGGCAATAGCTGAATCTTCAGTGCTACTCTCTTGGCCCAGGCCCACTCTCCGGATGGACTCCCTGTATTTTTGTTTTCCCAGTGCAATTATGGCCATGATTTCATCGGCTATGTCTTGGCGGTCGCTCTCCTTCATGGCGTGGATCAGCTGGTCTACGCAGTCGGCCTTCTTTTCATTTTGCTGAGCCCAAGAGAAGAGCATATCCAGAATCTGAGTATTGAGGTCTTCCCTGAGGAGAAAGATTGGGAGAGAAGCTGAGTGATATCATGCATACATTACTCTTAAGCATGGATTTACTGTAACCAGGTAAGCTGGCTCTCTACATTTGCAGGTTTGACTTTTGTGGATTTGATAAATATATTTTCTCTATGAATCTCTATGTCCATTCCAACAGAGGTCATGCTGGAGGATCTAGACACTGCTAGAAATGTGTTACCTTAGATTAAAAATGTAGCTTTTTAATTCATAGTTTGTCTACTTTCATGGAGGTTCTGCGCCCCAACTCCAGTGAATGTGAAAGGTTGACTAGATAGCGTGCCTTTTCATAGCTCCAAACAGCTTACAATATTTAGAAGCATAGTAAGAGAATACATGCAAATGTGAATAGATCAATAGGTACCACTTCGGTGGGAAGGTAACAGCGCTCCATGCAGTCATGCTGGCCACATGACCTTGAAGGTGTCTACAGACAACGCCGGCAGTTCGGCTTAGAAATGGAGATGATCACCACCCCCGAGTCGGACACAACTGAACTTAATGTCAGGGGAAAACTTTAACTTTACTTTAAGAGCATACAATTATAGAATGTGTGTGTGTGTGTGTGTATATATATATATATATATATATATATATATATATAATTACAGGAAAAATAAGAAACTTGTTTTAGAATATGTAACTATCTTTACTTTTTGCAACAGTCTCACTAAATTCCTTCCTTAAGAGGAAAAGCACTCTGAAGACAAAAGTCCTACAACCAAACTTCATATTCTTATGGAAATTGTGGCAATGTATTTATATTTTAAAAACAAGGAATTCCTATCTGGAATAAGTAGAGAGAAGCTTAGAAGTGCAAAGGCATATTTGATACTAGTCTAGAAACCTGAGTGGTTCTTTTGCTTATTCTTTTTCTGGCAAACCATGGCTTGTTGACTGTCATGAGTCCAAGAACCACCACTTGGAGTAGCACTGGTCTAACTCCCATTCCCTAAATGCATCCCTATAGTTCCCCCTCCTACCTGTTGTTGTACTGAATCCTCTGAATCTGCTGGTAGGACAACCCCAGGTGTAAGCCTATGGTTTGCCAATCTGCTCCTATGCGCCCAGCAATGCCAAGTAGATTGGACTGTGTGAGGTAACCAGTTTCTGCATTCCCCAAATTCAGAGGGGGAAGAGAGAAGCCATTTGAGGTCGTAGGTTGCTCATTTCCCTGAGATTTCAGTTTCTGGCAAAACATAACAAAAGGAAAGGTATGTCAGTCATAAATGCTATGATATAAGTATAAGAAGTATAAGTATAATGGAATTGGAGGGAAGAAAATAAAGTTCAGTGTGAGTTTATGAGAGCCCATTCTTCAATGCCCTGGGACTTAACAACAGTGTTCTGCCGTGTCTACTCAGAACTATTCTTAGGTAAATGAACGCAGGGTTATTAAATTCATTAACTCTATAATATGTGACCAGCTAGGGCCCCTTAGTGGTGCAGCAGGTTAAACTACTGAGCTGCTGAACTTGCTGACTGAAAAGCTGACAGTTTGAATCTGGGGAGTGGGGGGTGAACTCCTGCTGTTAGCCCAGCTCCTGTCAACCTAGCAGTTCAAATGCATGCAATTGTAAGTAGATCAATAGGTATTGCTTCTGCGGAAAGGTAATAGCACTCCATGCAGTCATGCTGGCCATATGACCTAGTAGGTGTCTATGGACAATGCAGGCTCTTTGGCTTAGAAATGGAGGTGAGTGCCACCTATCAGAGTCAGACACAACTAGACTTAATGTCAGGAGAAACCATTACCTGTTTATGTGACCAACTTCCTCCTGCCAAATGAGCGGAAGATACCCACAATATAGCATTTGACTTGCAGTAAAACTTCGTTTTAATTATTGTTACTTTTAAATAAAATGCTTGCTGAAACATGTCGAAGTCCCCTTTTTGTTGCATTGCAGAACCCTATTTCTATATTTTCCCTATTATTTCTGCCTCTGGTACCTATTTAATTTTAAAGAAGGGATGTTCAGAAAACATCCACATTGTTAATTGAGGTAAATATGCATTTTAAAAAGCTAAGTTATAGCTGAATGAAATGCCAAAGTAAAACGTGGCACATTTAGGTGATATAATTACAAGTTTAGAGACTGAGCAATTTTTTTAAAGAAACTGATTGAATGAAAGAGAAAACATACACAAACAAAATGATTTCACAATCAACACTGTGTAACATATTGTTTATAGCCAAGTCGTCTGGATAATTTCCAGTTAAAGCCCTATTATCGAAGGTTAAAGGGTTATTTGAGTAAAGGTGGGCTATAAATATAATGACCATGGCTAAGTAGTTTATCTGAAGTTTGCTGGATGACCAGGACATCATTCAAGGTCAAAGATACAATTTAAAAGGTTTATCACTTCAGTCAATCATTAATAAACAATACATTTTCTATTAAAGGGGTCTCAAACATATTAACTAGATGTATGGATATTATGGTAGAAATGAATGATATACTCATTCTATGGTTGAAGCATAAAGATTTGGAAAAATTCAGGACTCCTCTAAATTAGGTGTATATGTCTCCTTGTTTAATATCTTAAGTATGTGTTGTCGAAGGCTCTCATAGCCAGAATCACTGGATTGGTGTGAGTTTTCTGGGCTGCATGGCCACATTCCAGAAGCATTCTCTCCTGACGTTTCACCGACATCTATGGCAGACATCCTCAGAGGTTGTGATGTTTGTGGGAAATTAGTCAAGTGAGGTTTATACATCTGTGGTATGTCCAGAGTGGGAGAAAGAACTGTTGTCTGCTTAAGGCAAGTGTGATTGTTGCAATTGGCCACCTTGATTAGCACTGAATAGCCTTGCAGCTTCAAAAACTGGCTGTTTCCTGCTTGGGGGGAATCCTTTGTTGGGACGTGTTAGCTGGCCCTGATTGTTCCATGTCAGGAATTCCCCTGTGTTTTGAGTGTTCCTCTTTCTTTACTGTCCTGATTTTAGATTTTTTTAAAAAAAAATTGGTAGCCAGATTTTGTTCATTTTCGTGGTTTCTGCTTTTCTGTTGAAATTGTCCACATGCTGCTTTTGGATTTCACTGGCTTCTCTGTGTAGTGTGACATGGGGGTTCAGAGTGGTCCAGCATTTCTGTGTTCTCAAATAATATGATGTGTCCAGGTTTGGTTCCTCAAGTACTCTGCTATGGCTGACTTCTCAGATCGAATTAGTCTGCAGTGCCTTTCATGTTCCTTGATTTGTGTTCAGTAACAATGAAATAACTGGCCAAACCTTTCCTGACTTAGATTCCCAGAACTTCTGCAAAGGAGACCATTTAGCAGAGCACATGGATGATTAGTTTCAGGATATCCCAGTGAAAATCATTACATTGAAAGGATCAATGAGACAGGCTTTATGAAAAAATATGAAAGACTTTAATTCCAAGAGTAGCCCTTTCTGTATATGACTTAGCAGTGAATACAGTTATCATAGATGGGTTTGTTGTGGTGAAACTAATTAGTTAATCACTGCATGATTTTTAGTTACCCTCTTGTAGTCTCCTTTGAGAGAGTAAAAGCAGATATAATTAATTAATTAGTTAATTAATTAATTAAATACATAAATCTATCTGGGGAATGTTGGAAAGGCTCACACATAATACAATATTTATGTCACTCTCTGGACTGTTGCTCTGCTTCTAAAATAACAGATTCTGTTTCTGATTTTTAAAGAAAAAAACATATTTTTGCACTTTCTATATGGGAATATTTGGCTAGGACTCTATTTGTTCCACTCAGTTATGCTGCCAAAGGCATATTCTATGGAATTTGCACTCCATAAGGATTGCTGCTTTTCCTTCTGGCCTTGTTTCTGTGACGTTAAGGGTATCCAGACAACCAGCAGATAAGCAGAGAGAGGATTAGAGAAGGAAGAAAGGAGGATTTCCACTCATGAAAACAAGACTTCCTCCCAGTACAACAGCTCTCTATGCACCGCCAACCCTGTCCCCATAATGCCATTTGAGAGAGTCAGGGGAACCTTTGGGACAGCAAGAATGGGATACGAGGCACTGCAAAGAGAGAGGAGGGATTGGCAGCATGTGCTCAATTGGGGAGGCAGAGGGGTGGCAGCTGCCAGGTGTGAGCAGAAGGACCTTTACATCCCTACAAGAGACCTTCCCGTCTGAGCATTTTCCCCTGCATTATGCGATGGGGAAAGCACGTGTCACGTCAAGCTGAAAACATGCAGGGCAGACTGGTGGAAAAAAAGGTGGCATTCCTACCTCCCACAGTTATTTCTCCATTTGTGCCCAAGCTCTCCTTGGGAGAAATCAGGCTACTTAAATCAAAAACAAAAAATCAAATCACATAGATAACTTACAGGTAGCTTGATTGGCAAGGTAGCTAGCCAATGAGAATCTGGGCCTTTTCTCCTCTTGCTAACCTCTTCTGGAATGTTTTCAGGAACAGCTCCTCGGTAAAAGGAAACCTTCAGAAAGAGAGTCCATCAAAGGTAGATGTTTATAATGGTAAATCAGCCACACTGGTTGGTAGTGCAATGGGTTAAACCAGTGATTCTCAACCTGTGGGTCCCCAGATGTTTTAGCTGTCAACTCTCAGAAATCCTAACAGCTGGTAAACTGGCTGGGATTTCTGGGAGTTGTAGGCCAAAACACCTGGGGACCCACAGATTGAGAACTACTGTGCCGGCTGAACTGCTGACCTGAAGTTGGAGGTTTGAATCTGCGAGACGGGGTGAGCTCCCATCTGTCAGCCCCAGCTTCCCATGTAGGGACATGAGAGAAGTCTCTCACAGGATAGTAACACATCCGGGCATCCCTTGGGCAACGTCCTTGAAGACAGCCAATTCTCTCACACCAGAAGCAATTTGCAGTATATTCTCAGGTCGCTTCTGACACAAACACACACAAAATGTCGCACTGGCTAATAAGCTGTATTTTCTGTTATTTGCCCATGTCTGTTTTCTCTTTGTCAATGCAAAAGCAACCTCCACCTTTTAGGAGTTTATCATAAAGACTGCAATGCAGATTTCTTAGGCGGCAAAGAGAAGATTGTATCATCAGCTCCAGGACTTCATCCCGTTCCAGCCAGTACATCCATATAACGATAATGACATCAAACGATAACTTCTTTACCAGCTGCTAAGGAAAAGCGGTGTGGCTGTTTGGTTAGTAAACCAAGGTTGGCATAGTGACAGTCTATGCCAGTCCTCTTCCTCTGCTCCAGCAAACTTATACATTTGAGACTCAGCCTCTATCTCAGCCTTCCCCAAAAGGATGCGTTCCAAAGATTTTGGACTCTTACTCCTAGAATGGCAAAGCAATTCTAGGAAGAAGAGTCCAAAACTCTATGCTAACTTCCACTGAAAGTTAATAGAGAGCTGCCCTGGCAGACCTAGAACATTTCTAGAGAGGATACATTTGTTTTTAGGTCCTCCATACAACTCCCAGAAGAAGTTGTTCATTTTAATTAGGTTCACTTTATTCACAGTTTCCTGTTTCCATTAAATTCAGGAACATATTCCCTGCAGCCATAGGGATTTTACAGCATTTTGCATATTTCACTAATTCAAAGAACTAAGAGTAATATCAACAATTAACTCTGACTTATTTCAATACGATCAAGACCCATATCTTCTGAATTGTACCAACAGAATAATAATAAGATAAACATCCCTGTTTATTAACTAGGATCCTTTCAGAAAAAATGACAATGGAGGAAAAGAGAAGTGATCAATATAATTTAAGGGATCTATCAGTTAATCAAGGTATAGAGTTAGATATCATGGGGAAAACATGTCAATGCAAAATAAGAAAACTGTGTACCTGCCCTTTCACAGCAGTGCTTTTCCTGTCCACTTCAGAGGTGATATATACTTCCTTCACGTTTTTCAAATGTGAGAAGAAGTTGAATGAAATCCTTCCATCAATGCAGTCTGGTCGATCTAGTTTAAGTTTAAGGAAACAGATTATGTAATGAGATCCTACTAACTACAGGGGATCCCTGGTGGTGAAGTGGGTTAAACTGCTGAGCTGCTGTACTTGCTGATGGAAATACTGGCAATTCAAATCTGGGGAGCAGGGTGAGCTCCCACTGTTAGCCCCAGCTTCTGCCAACCTAGCAGTTTGAAAACATGCAAATGTGAGTAGATCAAAAGGTACTGCTTCTGCAGGAAGGTAATGGTGCTCCATGCAGTCAAGCCAGCCACATGACCTTGGAGGAGTCTATGGACAATGCTGGCTCTTTGGCTTAGAAACGGAGATGAGCACTATAAGGATCTTTAGAGGTATGGGTGATAAACCAATATCCCACCTCTAAGACCCAATATAAAGACCTTCGAGGGTTATCAATGCAGGGGGGAAAACAATCAAAGAAATCCCTCCACTGTAGAACCAATTATAATAACTTAAAAAGAGAGGCTTTTACAGGGTTTGAGGGGAGGTCACGTTGTGTAAAACTTTCGCTGCCACCATAAAAATAAAGCAAACACGAACCCTCTAGCTATTAGATTACTAAAAAACTGTTTAAAATAATAAGAAGGCTTGTTTTACTTCATCAAAGGCTGGATATTAACAAGGGCTTTCTATGAGGGGAAAACAGGAGAGGTTGACTCAATAAGTAAAATGACTCTACCCAAAAATGGCACTTGACTCAGGCTTGACTTGTAAAAAACAATAAGAAAGAGTTTATTGAAAGATTATAAATTACAGAAAATAGAAGCGAATGCAGGTACTGAGGCTTGAATGGTTACAGAATAAAAGAGTTTATTTTTAACTTGAGAATAACAACAACTCGTTGGAATGAGTGGTACAAGATCTTGATGCAGTTGCAGTAACTTGGTTGCTTAAAATCAAACAGTTCTCTCTGACAGAATAACTTTTATATCTGAGAATCTCTTTAAAACACTGTTCTACTATTAGACACAGTATTCCCTGGGATACAGACCCAAGACAAAATGGCAATAAGGTATCTGTGAAACCTTTACAAGGCTCACTAAGGCACAACCCTCCTTTACTAGTTCTTCTAACTCAGTAAAGCTCTGGCTTCCTGCCTTCCCCTTATTCCAAAACCTTAGAGATTCTCTAAAAGTTCTCTCACTTCTGTCAGTTCCCTGCTCTTAAAATCCAACTCTCTCTGTCTAACTCCCAGATTCTTCTCAGAACTCCAACTGCTCACTACTCAGAACGGCTCTCAACTCTAAACTCATCTAAAACTGGCAAACTATCTGCTTCTCTTTCCCTCCTTCTGGCTAACTCCGCCCCTATTCTCTAAACCAATCCTAGCTGTTGCTGGGCTGGCACAGGCCTCAGCCACTCCCCCTTTCCTCTGGACACATTCCAGCTTGTCAATATCTCTCTGCAATTGTGGTGCCCAGAATTGGACACAATATTCCAAAATCTCCTCTTGGAGATGGATGGGGTGGCTGGAGGCATTTTGTGCCATATGTAAGCCAACTCAAGTCCCTTCAGGGAGATGGAGGCAGGGTACAAAATAAAGTTGTTGTTCTTGTTCTTGTTGTTCTTGTTGTTGTCGTCATCATCACCATCATTATCATCTTCACCTCAGAGAGGTAGCTGGCCAATTTAAGCCTAGAATTGGTCTTTTAAAGAATAGAAAATGCACAATAAATTGATTATGTTCAAGTCTTGTTAATGGCCCACGTAAGCTAAAACATGGTGATGATGCTTCCAGTGTTATCTAAAAGAGTGTCTGAGAACCTTTGGGAAACACCCATTTTGTATTTCGTTTGCAGAGGAGGCTGATCCTTTAATGGTTTCCTGAGAAGTCAGAGCATCTCCCAGTCTTCCATGCTGGCTCACTCATTTATTATGTTCTTAATTCTATAAACCCAGACATTTCCATAGGTACGTTGTGCATCTACACTGTAGAACAAATGCAGTTTGACACCACTTCTGCTGCCAGGGTTCAATGCTATAGAATCCCGGGTACTGTCATTTTCCAAGGTCTTTAGCCTTCTCTCCCCAACTACAACTCCCCAAATTCCATAGCACTGAGTCCTGTTAAAATGGAGTCAAACTGCATTTATTCTACAGTGTAGATGTGTCTGTAGGTAGAGATATAATCCAAGATCTTATATTTCAATTGCTACGTATATCGCCATTTGGGAATATGCACATTGATTGTGCTGCTGAATGCTTGGTCAAATGGCAATGCAGTGGGCATTAATATAAATGTATCTGAGTGCACAAATGAATATGGAGCAACTGAATGCACAACCAAATATGCCTTCAGATGGTTCAGATGGAAAGTGCTAACTCCTTTCGTAAGAAAGTTTACACTTTTAAAGTCTCCAATATGATTTCACCCTATTTCCAAGTTTCTTATCTCCTTCTGGGCTGCTTCTTCCATGGATTGCCTTTGACTTGCAACATGTGCTGCTACCTAGCTTGGTTTTAATGTGTTTAGACAGTAAATAATATTTTTGTCCTGTCTCACATTTGAAAATATTTCATTTTTACATGAATTTTGTATACATTATTCCATGATCTATACACTGCCATATAATGCAGTTTGGAACATCAGTATATGGTCAGTGTAGACTCATGTATGATAAGAAACAAATTCTTATCATGTATGATAAGAAACAAATTGGTATGATAAGAAACAAAGATGGCAGGGACCTAACAGAAGCTGAAGAGATCAAGAGAAGGTGGCGAGACTATACAGAAGATCTGTATAGGAAGGATAATAATATTGAGGATAGTTTTCACGGTGTGGTGAATGAATTAGAACCAGACATCCTGAGGAGTGAGGTTGAATGGGCCTTAAGAAGCATTGCTAACAACAAGGCAGCAGGAGACGACGGGATCCCAGCTGAACTGTTTAAAATCTTAAAAGATGATGCTGTCAAGGTGATGCATGCCATTTGCCAGCAAATATGGAAAACACAAGAATGGCCATCAGACTGGAAAAAATCAACTTATATCCCCATACCAAAAAAGGGAAATGCGAAAGACTGCTCAAACTTCCGTACAGTGGCCCTTATTTCTCATGCCAGTAAGGTAATGCTCACGATCCTGCAAGGAAGACTCCAGCAATACATGGAGCAAGAGCTGCCAGATGTTCAAGCTGGGTTTAGAAAAGGGAGAGGAACGAGAGACCAAATTGCCAATATCCGCTGGATAANTAATAAAATAATAAATAGAGTAAAATAATAAATGTAATAAAATAAAAATAATAGAGTAAAATAATATAATAAATAGAGTAAAATAATAAATGTAATAAAATAAAAATAATAGAGTAAATTAATGGAAATGTAATAATAACAGTAATAATAGAGTAAAGATGTAAATCTAATCATAATAATAAATAGAGTAAAATAATAGAGTAAAATAATGGAAATGTAATAATAATAATTGAGTAAAATATTAAATGTAATAATAATAATAATAATAATAATAATAATAATATCAGAGTAAAATAATAAATAACCTTGACTCAAGTATAAGCCGAGGGGGGGGGGGTCAACTTAATAAAGGGCTGAAAAACTAACTTATACTCGAGTATATATGGTAATAATAATAATACTGGTTGGGTGGAGGTAAGTTAATTCTGTCGCTGTTGATTCATTGATTTCTGTCCCACCACTGTTCAAAAATGTCAATATAAGTATGGATAGAAAGGTGATTTAAAAGCAATTAAACCACGTTGAAAAGACTTCACGTCAAGCTTAGAAACAGCAATGCCCAACATTACAAGGCCTTCTCAGTCATTTTCTAGAAGTTCAGTCAAGGTGAAAGAAGAAAGCGCAAAAGCCGGGTTGCAGCTAAACGTCAAAAAAACCAAGATTATGGCAACAAGAATGATTGACAACTGGAAAATAGAGGGAGAAACCGTGGAGGCCGTGACAGACTTTGTATTTCTAGGCGCAAAGATTACTGCAGATGCAGACTGTGGCCAGGAAATCAGAAGACGCTTACTTCTTGGGAGGAGAGCAATGTCCAGTCTCGATAAAATAGTGAAGAGTAGAGACATCACACTGGCAACCAAGATCCATTGCCTAGTCAAAGCCATGGTATTCCCTGTAGTCACCTACGGATGTGAGAGCTGGACCTTAGGGAAGGCTGAGCGAAGGAAGATAGATGCTTTTGAACTGTGGTGTTGGAGGAAAGTGCTGAGAGTGCCTTGGACTGCGAGAAGATCCAACCAGTCCATCCTCCAGGAAATAAAGCCCGACTGCTCACTGGAGGGAAGGATACTAGAGACAAAGCTGAAGTACTTTGGCCACATCATGAGGAGACAGGAAAGCCTAGAGTGACAAAATCAGGGAGCAGCCACCAAGAAGGCCCTGTTTCCCAGGGTCCCACCATTTCAAGTGTTTTATAAGGGCATTGGGTATCCCTTTTTTGTGTCATGGTTAACTTCATAACTCAAACCCAGCTTGCAAAGAAAGGTTCATTGCTACATACAGAACAATTCTTTTCTCGAAGGGGATTTGCTGCTAATTTTTGAAATACCCTTTTTTTTAAAAAGGCATCTATATTAACGCTGGATGTGCTTGTCTTTCTCTCTCTTGAAGGTAGTCAGTTTCCTCCATACCATCCTGTTGTGTGACAAACTGGATTTCAGTACCGCTCTTGTGGTTTGTCCCCTGAACACAGCCCTGAACTGGCTGAACGAATTTGAGAAATGGCAGGAAGGCCTGGACGACAGCGAGAAGCTGGAGGTATGTGCTGCTCGAGATTGTTTCACGATCCCTTGCCTTCCCCACCCTTAGAAATAATTGTCGTACACCAAAGCAGGAACCCCTCTGACTTTGGTAAAATCAGCAAGCAGTTTATTTAAGAATATATGTAGACCAGTGGTTCTCTACCTTCCAAATGCCGTGACCCCTTAATACAGTCCTTATGTTGTGGTGACCCCCAATCGTAAAATTATTTGCATTGTTACGTCATAATTGTAATCTTACTCCAATTAAGAATC